TTTTTTTTTGTGGGGTCTCCTCTTAAAATCCACATCAGATCCTCCTCAAGGATAAAGGCCTGGTATGGATTTTGGGGAGGAGCCCATGCTATTTTTTTACAAACATAACAAAGTGGCCTGAAATGTAATTTAGTGATTATTGCATTTATTTTTCTTTCTAAATGTCACTTTTGCTGTAGTACATCCTACAGGTGCGCCAGTAAAAAAGTTATACTCATGTGACTTCGAGTCGGCTTTCTCTGAGACCGGTCCCTGGAGCCTCTCTCCCCCTCCACGGAAGCGGTGTAAGGTCCCTGAGTCATCATGTTCTATACACAGTGTAAAGGATGTGAGGGAGCTGAGGGACATACCATCTCTGCAGAGTAGGAGACAGGCACGAGGGAGCGCGGACACGGCGGGCCGACTCGGAGGATCAGGTGAGTGTAATTTTGTTATATTTTTAGCCCAAAACTAGCCACTGCGAGGGTTACAAAAATGTTTGTTCTCCTTTATGGCGTTCCCAAACATGTGATGTGTATTTTTAATGTTGCCCTTTCAGCCTTATGAAAAAAACCTGCTCTCCATTGAATTGTATGTGGGTTTTGAAGTACACAGTGACCCATGCCCCTTTTTTCCCCAAAAGCTTGAAAATTGTCCTTGAAAATGGCCAGAATGAAATAAAATAATATATGACTCTCATGGACTTTAATGGGGTTCCAGTGCGATGTTCTCTCGCCACTTTTAAGCACCATGGACAGTGACTACATAGGGGGCAAAAAAAACACATTTTGGGCTTTTTGCTTCACTGAAAACGAGTCACAAACAATGCTGATGGCATCAATCTCTCAATGTCTAGCAACAAGTGAAGCCAGCTTCCTAGCCAATCAGGAAGCCGGGCAGCACGTCATGACCCGCCTCCCAGTTTACTGACTGGCTTGGAAGCCGGTGTTCTGTCAAAAGCTCCGAGCCTTCCATATCTCCAACTGGTGACACCACATCCGGTGACTGCCAGTAGGAGATCTAGACCAGATGGAGCCACTGCGCATGCGCTATCCGCACGGCAGTCTCAGTCCTTACAACCTGGCAACTCGCCTGCGTGCCCTAATCCAGCCTGTCAAATTCGACAACAGTACTCACGGGCTCCATGCTCCCTCGGCACTGCCGGTCAGAGGGAAATTCCCCTCTGAGGAAGCTGGGCGGCACATGATAACACGCCTCCCGGTTTCCTGATTGGCTTGGAAGCCGGTGTTCTGTCGAAAGCTCCGACCGGTCAAGATCTCCAACTGGTGACGTCACATCCGGTGACTGCCAGTAGGAGATCTAGACCAGATGGAGCCACTGCGCATGCGCTATCCGCACGGCAGTCTCAGTCCTTACAACCTGGCAACTCGCCTGCGTGCCCTAATCCAGCCTGTCAAATTCTCCAACTGTACTCATCGGATCCATGCGCACTCAGCACTGCCGGTCAGGGGGAGACCCCCCTGTGACTGGAAGTTCCAGTATGCAAGGTAAGTATTGGAGTATTTGGGTGAGTACGAGTACTCGCCCAAATACTCTGTATCGGCACCAATACCGATACTAGTATAAGTAGCGGTGCATCCCTACAAAAGTACGGGGTGTTGAACCATGATAATACTACAGTGTTCCTTAGTGATCTTGCCCAGATGAAAATGGTGAGTCAGACACATCCTCTACAAGATGGATATTTATTTTCTATTCGGCAGATAATCTTAAAAACATAACAAAAATTATTAAAACGAAAATTTGATTTGTTGAAAAAAAGTTCTCCCAATTATTTTACTTTTTGTTAAAGGTTGCAACTGTTTTTTTGTTTAAGATATCCACAGTTTCTCTCCAAAGCATAAATATTGGAAATCTCTTTTATAGATCTAGAGTAGACTAGAATAGACCATCGGAGGACTTCCTGTGTCTTCACGTAATCATTTTGTGCACTATTAGGGATAATGAATATAATATAATTTATTTACAGAAACAACAATTCTGAGCCAATACATAAAATCATTCTTTGCAAAGAAGACCGTGTATTCATTGTATTAATCTTTTTCATAGTTTATATTGATGGGGCAGCAAATCCATAAACAAATATAGTCTGCTGAGTGTGCTCCGTGTTTCCAGCAAAGTACAGAGCGTGACTCCGAAGATGTAATGATTTGTAAAGTTGGAGATTTAAAGTAGAACTGAAGGCAGAACTTTTAGTTTTAGTTTTAGGCTCGTAACTCCTGTCAGCTTTTTTTGCCCTTTGTGTCCTATTACAGAGATTTCCCTTTCCTGGCCATACTCCATGGCAGCGCTGACAAATGGGTTTAGATCCAATTACCCCTAGCTGACAGGAACCAAAAGGGTTAAACAAGGCCTAACCCTCTCTATAAAAGCCCCTTTAATCATACTTACCGTAATTTTCTTTTCCTGGTTATACTCCATGGCAGCGCTGGGCTCCCACCCTATGGAGTTTTTAGCTTGTTACTAGACTGGGGAAGTCAGCAGGAGGAGGGGCTTTTATAGAGAGGGTTAGGCCTTGTTTAACCCTTTTGGTTCCTGTCAGCTAGGGGTAATTGGATCTAAACCCATTTGTCAGCGCTGCCATGGAGTATAACCAGGAAAAGAAAATTACGGTAAGTATGATTAAATTTTCAGTTTTACTTCCTGTCCACGAGCCATAACAGGTCCCTTTACTTCCTGTCCACGAGCCATAACAGGTCCCTTTACTTCCTGTCCACAAGCCATAACAGGTCCCTTTACTTCCTGTCCACGAGCCATAACTTCCTGTCCACGAGCCATAACA